GAGCATGGAGTTAGGAAGCATCTCATAAGCATTTGGGACTTTTCAGTTCAGCGTATGGTCAGTTGCACACAAAAGTAAGTTTCCTTAACCTTTCTTTTAGGCTTCTGTGAAAGTATAGATGAGCTGAATAATGCTGTTATTTCATGAACTTCACAATAACAGGATCCACAATTTTTATGCAATGAAGGATTTGAAGACCACTACTTGTTTTAACCCCAAGAATAATTTGCTGAAATAGGGCACAGAGGGAAAATATGAAACTGAACTATATATATTTTTAGTCATCAAATCAATTGGCAATGAAATAAAAAAGATTACATGGAGAAAACAAAAAAAAATCCCACCTCAATATCTCTCCTTTTACTTTAATGAAGGAGGAGAAGTGAGAGTGGAAACTCATCCCTGGGGGTTTAACTGGCTGGCAGCGGCTTCATATACTGCTCACAGCAGCAGATCCCTATATCCTTAAACTACATCTCATTTGATGCCAATATATTTTAAAAAGCAACTGAGTTTACACATAGTACCAAGTGATGTGCTACAGTAAAGCAGCACAGGGGTTAAACTAAAAGTGGAGGAAATAACTTGGCCAAAGAAACTGGGAGCAAAATTAGTCTGTAGGTTTTATTTAGGCATCTGGTTTTTCTAGAAGAATTAGGATTCTTGAGGTTCTTTCTCATTTGATTGATAGATTTTGTTTAAAATAGATCCTAATATTTTATTCCTATTAAGAACTACTGTAGATTACTTTTTTATAATTATATTTCATTAATAAAGATGATAAAATACATAATATCCAATTAAGAGATCAGCCTATAAACTCTGAAAAATGTTTCTGTATCATCTTATAAAATTACAAGGCAAATCAGGTTTTTCTGGCAGCAGCATGCCACTTTTCTTGTGGGTTAAAAATAGCTAAAATTTTTGTTATATCTAAGAATACTACCTGAAATATCTAACAATCAAGTTTCATAAGTCCTCTTTTCAAAGAGGTTACTCCACAATGTTTAACTGTCTTAGCATTCATATGATCAAGCCATAGATTTTAAAATAGTTTATAAATATTTTGTAGTCAAAAACATTACTGCAAGGCCATCCTTTCTGTGATCACCAGTTTGGAAAAGGCAATTATTCCCATGCGTGCAAAACTGCATAAATAACGGACCACTTACAACTACAACATATTATGCAGTTATCAGCTACTTAGCTTTCATTTGAAGGGTTCAAACAAGTTAGTGCAGCCCCAATTGGCTAGTGGCATGGTGTAATTATTTGTAGAGCTAATTCTACAGCAAATTTCCTATGGAAAGAGAAAAAGAGGACAAGGCTGCTACTTGTGTTAAATGCCTACCTGAAGCAGACAATCCTACCAGCTGATTTTGACTAGAGAATCTGTCTCAACTCTGGAAATGAAATTACTAGACTGAATAGATTCGTTTTCTTGCAGTATATTTAGAGAAAAAAATGTGTTTCACTTAACCACTTCATTTTTTTTTTTTTTTTTTTGAGATGGAGTCTTGCTCTGTCACCAGGCTGGAGTGCAGTGGCATGATATTGGCTCACTGCAACCTCCGCCTCCAGGGTTCAAGCAATTCTCCTGCCTTAGCCTCTCGAGTAGCTTGGACTACAGGTACGTGCCACCATGCCTAGCTAAGTTTTGTATTTTTAATAGAGACAGGGGTTTCACCATCTTGGCCAGGATAGTCTCAATCCCTTAACCTTGTGATCCACCCACCTCGGTCTCCCAAAGTGCTGGGATTACAGGTGTGAGCCACCATGCCCCGCCTATCCACTTCTATTTTTATGAATTGTATAGATAAGTCCCTGGTACATAAGACAAAGAAGTTTGTGGCATCTAGCTGAAATCTTCTTTAAGGACTCCCAGGGATGTGGTACACAAAAAAGGGTACCCTATATCCTTAAAAATATATACATAGTTTGAGAATTCTGTCTGTGGAATAGGTAGGAGATGAAAGCTTGTTGTTGCTTAATTTAATGTCCACAAGCCATTTTTATAAAATCCAAACCACAGATTGTAGAATCAAATAGTATATGATCTAAGATACTGTTCTCTTTTGAAAGTGTGCAATTGAGAAATGCTCAGTTGAGAAAAATATCTGAGCTTGTTCTTATCTCTTAGAAATTACATAATTTGGCAGCTTTTCTTTAAAAGGGGTAACATGTTAACAAACAAACATTGCTACATTAGGGAAGACCTTCATATTTATTATGTGTTTATTTAAACTGAATATGAGTAATCTAGAAGAAAATTAGTTTTAATATCATATTTAAAATAATCTTTTCTATTTATAGCTTCTTTGACCAGATTATTCGCCAACTTAATTTATTTTATTTTTTTTAGAGACAGTGTCTCACTGTCACCTAGGCTGGAATGCAGTGGGATGATCATAGCTCACTGTAATCTCAAACTCCTGGGCTCAGGTGATCTTCCCACCTTAGCCTTCCCAGGAGAAGGAATACAGGCCTGTGCCACCATGCCTGGCTAATTTTTGAAATATTATTATTATTATTATTTTTAACGGAGTTTCACTCTATTGCCCAGGCTGGAGTGCAATGGCTTGATTTGGCTCACTACAACCTCTGCCACCCAGGTTCAAGCAATTCTCCTGCCTCAGCCTTCCAAGTAGCTGGGATTACAGGTGCCTGTCACTGTGCCCAGCTAATTTTTTATATTTTTAGTAGAGACGGAATTTCACTATCATGGCCAGGCTGATCATGAACTTCTGACCTCATGATCCACCCACCTCAGCCTCCCGAAGTGCTGGGATTACAGGCATGAGCCACCATGCCCAGCCTTGAAATATTTTTAAAGAGATAGGGTCTCGAGCCAGGCATGGTGGCTCAAGTCTCTAATTCCAGCACTTTGGGAGGCCAAGGTGGGCGGATCATGAGGCTAGGAGTTTGAGACCAGCCTGGCCTGGCCAACATGGTGAAACCCCATCTCTACTAAAAATACAAAAATTAGCCAGGCATGGTGGTGGATGCCTATAATCCCACCTACTCGGAGGCTGAGGCAGGAGAACTGCTTGAACCTGGGAGGCAGAGGTTGCAGTGAGCCAAGATCACACCACTGCACTCCAGCCTGGGCGACAGAGCAAGACTTCGTCTCAAAAAAAAAAAAAAAAAAAACCCAGACAGGGTCTCACTATGTTGTTCAGGCTTGTCTTAAACTCCTGGCCTCAAGCAATCCTCCCAAAGTGCTGGGAACTCCCACTTAATTTATATTCCCTTTTGAAATTTTAAAGCACTTTCACTCAATTTTTTTTATTACCCAGTTTACATAATGATTACTTTTAAATTTTTACTTCTTCAGAGACTCCTTTGTATCAAGCTTCTCTGCAGAGCAGACTGCATGGAAATTTTTAGGAGGGTCAGAGATGGGAGTGTAGGAGTAAAGAAGTATGTGTCTATCACGCCTTTGTGCTAAGCAACTTTGCAAAGTGGGGGCCCTGTTTCTCCCTCTCATTTTGAATAAAACAGAGAAAGCAAAACAAAATTTCCCATATAATATCAGGTCAGGTCTACAATTAGTTGCAGAAGCAAAGGCTCTTGCACCTTATTCGGAGGACTCAAGTCAACTAATTGGGTCTGCAATTAGCCTCTTCAGTTGCAATCAATTACAAGTGCAATTTCTGTGTGTGAACTAATTTTGTGTGTAAAAGCAGTCTCACCAAAACAAAAGCCTAACTTAGAAAAGAATTCAGATCTGTCTTACCTTACTTAGATCGTAAGAAGAAACAAATTTCTTTCATGAACCACGAAGAAGACCAAAACTAAAAGTCTCTGTGCAGTGCAAATATTTTCTTAACTTTCTGTAAGTACTTAGATCTAAGTATTCCAGAATCTAGAAAAGATTGTCTTATTTTGTTACTACTGATATTTTACTAATTTTAAAATAATTATATTTATATAGTAAAAGTTTTTTCTTTTCATATTGCTGTTTAAATGTGTTATGTTTCTATACTACACATAAGTACACAAACTGGTTATACTCACATATGAACATGAATACACTGCAATTCAGAATTCTATTGCAACAGATCACCTAATGCATTGCTCTACGTAAAAGACTTTAACAAAGAGCTATATGAATGCAACATGGAGATCAATGCGTTGTGCTGTTTGTCAAAACTCTACCAAGTTGGCTTAGGAAATGTGACCTCACCAAGGAAATTTAATACACCAGTTAGACGCAAAACAAAACAAAAAACAAAACAAAACAGGCAAACAAATCCAAACATGTTGACAGCAGCTCATGTCCTAAAAAGAAACTCCAAGGCAAATTTCTGAAATTCCCAATGTCATTTTGGCATACCTACTTTACCAGTGTGTTTCAGACAACAGCTTTTAAGTTCCCCAATTCATAAATGTAATTAAATAATTACATTAGTGCTAATTAACATGAAACTGCAGATTATTTAAGCGCAAAAAACACTATTCAACTTCTTAATTATTCTTGTTCACACAGCATTTCCTTTTGCTCAGGCGCCCTAGGTGCAAATAAAGCATCCCATCTGCTCGTAATTAGAACTAAATAATTTCAGAGAATGTAGCTTATCATTTTGACTGCACATTTGATTAAAAACAGTGTACAAGCAATATCCTGGCTTATTGGCGTAACAGCAACAATACACACAAGCGTGTGTTCTTCTGTCATTAAAGAAGATCGAAAACATTATCTGTTATTTCAGGGGGAAAAATACAACTTTTTAGTTCATTTCATACAGATGAAAGCGAATTACAGCAAATCACCTCTCCACTGAATAGCAGCCCCCACATAATGACTTTATTTGCTTAATCCCCAAATTAAACGCCGTTTCGAGCGAGGGCCCTGTGTTATTACTCCCATCATGTCGAGAACATTTTCCTGCCGAGACCAATTTGAATAAAACAAGGGGCCTTCCTTGAACTCAATCAAGGAGCCATAATGTGGTGGGTAATAGAGGTTGCTGATAGATTTGCAGGCAAAAGTGTTATACCTAATGACGGGATATGGATAATAGTCCTCCTGGAGGTCCTGATGCGATTCCAGTTGGCTGCCAGATGCTAAAAATCAAGAAGAGCATTGATCAGTGACAGGAAGCTGTAGTGGATTCATCTAGTCAAACTTCAGCTGTTTTTCCACTGTACAGTTAAGCCAGGCATAAATTATATTAATTGATTTAATTACATACTTAAAACATCTTCCCCAATTAATTTAATTAGGTGGCTACATGATGCTACTGGCAGGGGAAGATTAGAGGCAGCTCACTTAATTAACAGAATATGAATGAAAAAAAAGAGAAAGCAAACATAAATGAAATTGTGAGCACTAATTAAAAGGCTGTCTGCAAACTTAAATACTTTCTGACAAAGTGGTGACAGCAATGTAGACAAGAGAGAATTTTTTTTCTGAGCAAATTAAAGTGCCAGAAGGTATATATAGGGAGAAAAGGTAATGTAGTTAAAACATTGATTTTCTGACAGAACTACCGTAGTCAAAGTAAAGGGACTTTTTTTTTTCTATAGAAAAATTGCAACAGATTTTGCAGGCATGAAAGCCAGATTCCTGATTAGGGCTAAAATATGATGCACAAACAAATGTAGGTTTTGTGCATCATACGTTGAGGGGAGTGAAAGGTAAGAGAGTCTGAAGGAGGAGGGTACTTGGAGAGAGAAAGGGAAGATAAAGAGACGACTTATTGCAATCACTCAAGCATGAAATGTTTAGAAAAAGAGGTCTGCCTTAACAGCTGGCAGCCTTGTGAACCTTGGCTCGAATGCGGAAATTCTCCAGGTGTCTCTGACGTGATTCCTTCAGTATCTTCTTTAGTCGAGTCTTATGGCAATGCAACAGCCAAGCAATGGCAATCACACCTGATGCCCACTTCTGCTGGCGATGAATGAGGAAGAATTTTCTTGCTTTGTAGCATTTCCATGTGGCTTGGATCTTTATGGCAGCCTCTGTCTCTCCATCTTGGCCCCTGTACCTTTGGCCTGGAAGATTCATCAGCATTTGAACATGAGCTGGGTCCTCTAACACTGAGAGAAAGTCATATCTGGTAAGTTTATTCTTCAGCTCAAACTCTGGAAGGAGGGCTACCAAATGATTCCCTTTAATTTTGACTTCTGGTATTGCATAGTTCCTGAGAAACTTCGTGACATGTTCCAAGAGAGAAAAAATACCTCCCCAAGCTAAGTTAAAATGTTCCTTGAATGCTAAGAAGTCTGGGGCTGTACTGTCTATGACACCATCATAAATTAAAAAGTCATAATCCCACGGTGATTTCAGGATACTTGAAGGTGTTGTGACTTTCATGGCCTGTGGAATAAGAAATATATTTAAGAAGTGAAAGATACTATGATCTCGTTTAAATGAGGTTAAGACACACACATTATCATTAAGCATTCAATGGTGGGAAGATATGAATCCTAGTACTGATTTAACACAAACACATTTTAATATGAAAGTCTGGCTAGTATATATTATTAAAACTCATTACCAGATGGATATCATAGAGATCACTCAAATCTATTAACATTTTTATAAAAGTATTATAAAATTGTACAAGGAAACTGATCATAAAAAAATTGTGCAGTTAGTTTACTTTGATACAGTCACCTGACCCCCAATCTCTGTGATTTAGTTTTTACACATGCCCGCACGGTCTGAGAAGTGTTGCTGATTCCCTGTTCGTAACTTATCCACCAGTCTGAAAAACAGGGTGAAGCTTTCTTTGCAATTCTTAGGATAACTTCAAATGTGCCCATTAAGAGTTGTTTCTGACTTCATAAAAGATCATCACTTTTCAGCATTTTATAGTTCTTCTGCCACCTTCTCTTAATATCCAGAGGTCATTTTTACAAGGAAGATTATGTTAACACGTTATCACCTTTGTAATTCTTAGGTTTCTCTTGAGAAGCATTCTTTTATTCTTAAGTCTGGTGTCTTCTTAGGAACATATCTGGGGCTGTCCCCAGGTGGATTAGAATCAGAAATCTGATAACAAAACCAAGGGAACATTTGCTTTTCATTTCGCTTCTATCTGTATGGACATTTTAAGCCATGGAAACATTTAATTTATAATTGGCAAGAGGGGTTTTCTAAGAATTGGATGTTGAGTGATTTTTCTCCTCTTTACAATTTCTATGTTAAAAAATAATCAATGCTATTTAAAAAATCAAATCAGAGATGGTTTAGATGACAACAGCAGTACATGTCACCCCCACTTAAAAATAAAAGGTAAGGGAAATTTTGTCGTGTCAATGTCCACTCTGTAGCCACTATATTTCAATTCTCAGAACGTATTGTACTGAAAACATAGACACTCTGCCCATGATCTAAATGTTCCTAATGGTGTGGAGGGGTTGGGGAAGAGGAAGGGTACAGGTTTTCAGGCCCTGAATTCTTGTCAGTAAACCTGGCATTAATTTACTGTAATAATTGTTTCTTGCCTAGGGACATAAGGAATAGATTGTTTTCAATACGTCCGCATTCTCAGAGGTATAAGCCCATCGTTACCAAATTGTAGGATTATTATTACTCTTTGCATTTTGAAGTTTCTACAAAACTCAAAGAAAAAATACTCCAGCAATTTATCAACAATGATTATGCCACAGCACTGTGTTGAGTATTACTATATTATTCATGCATTTTCTTTACTAAATAAATGTTAACTGAGAGTAATTTTCAAATTCAAGGCAGAAAATTGTCTACAACTAAGCCAAGAGATGTATTTCCAATAAAAGCACAATAAGCAAATGTAAGGAAAAAAAATCCTTCAAATTATTATTATATATATATTTTTTCCCATTTATTTTATTGCATTTTAGGTTTTGGGGTACATGTGAAGAACATGCAAATTTGTTGCATAGGTACACACATGGCAGTGTGATTTGCTGCCTTCCTCCCCATCACCTACATCTGGCATTTCTCCCCTTGCTATCTCTCCCCAGCTTCCCACCCCCCACCGCCCCTCCCCTATTTCCCCCCAACTGACCCCAGTGTGTAGTGCTCCCCTCCCTGTGTCCATGTGTTCTCATTGTTCAACACCTGCCTATGAGTGAGAACATGCGGTGTTTGATCTTCTGCTCTTCTGTCAGTTTGCTGAGAATGATGGTTTCCAGGTTCATCCATGTCTCTACAAAGGACCCAAACTCATCATTTTTGATGGCTGCATAATATTCCATAGTGTATATGTGCCACATTTTCCCTATCCAGTCTATCGTCGATGGGCATTTGGGTTGGTTCCAGGTCTTTGCTATCGTAAACAGTGCTGCAATGAACATTCGTGTGCACGTGTCCTTATAGTAGAACGATTTGTAATCCTTTGGATATATACCCAGTAATGGGATTGCTGGGTCAAATGGAATTTCTATTTCTAGGTCCTTGAGGAATCGCCACACTGTCTTCCACAATGGTTGAACTAATTTACACTCCCACCAACAGTGCAAAAGTGTTCCTATTTCTCCACATCCTCTCCAGCATCTGTTGTCTCCAGATTTTTTAATGATCGCCATTCTAACTGGCGTGAGATGGTATCTCAATGTTGTTTTGATTTGCATTTCTCTGATGACCAGTGATGATGAGCATTTTTTCTTTTCTTTGGTCCTGGGTGGTGGAATAATTAATTAGACTGCCATCTCAAGTAAAAATGCTGACAAACAAGCGTTAAGTCCCTAAGTGTGAATTTTCTTTCACTTTAGAAGCAGACTTAAAATAGCAGTGAGCTTTAGTGTACTTTTGAGTTGTTACAAGGCATAAAAATGAGGGAAAAAATCTTCTCACTAAGCTTCTAGCCCTTTCTGATCTAATCAGGGTGCCAAAAGAGAATGCAAGCTGCTTGGTAGATGAAATTAAATTCTTTCTTCTTGGATGGGCAAGAGAAAGTTGGAGAAGTAATGCGTTCTTTAGCAGCCACCAGTGCTGGCTGGAGGAGCTGCCACTCCTGGTAGAAGACAAGTGGCACGTGTTCCAACAAAAATGGCCTATGGCCACGTTGCTCTGATAGTAGGAATTAGGACTCAGAGAAGAATGACAGTGCTTCATCAGTGAGAAATAGATATGCAAAAGAACCACAGATCAACATGTTTGGAGCTGGCTGGTCCTGCCAGTCACGTGGGATTCAGTCAACAGGACTCAGACTTCTACAAGAAGCAAAGCTATGAATGGGAGATTTTCCAGAGAATCTTGTCCCCTTGGCAATATTAAAATATTTTTGAAACTTCTTATCTTCACAGAGAGTCATGTGGAATTAGGACCATCTATGAAAACGGGACCACCTTGTGAGAAGTTGAGAAAGAAGAGGACTCACTCTCTCTCAGACAGTGTCTTTCCATGGGGTGGGTCTAGGGTTTTTATGTACATCAACAAATGCATTTTAGACCTTCTGAAAGAATAGCCCTGGGTGGTGGGGGGGGGCAAAATTTATCAGCGGCTGATTTAGAACAAAGGGATTACACTTTTCTACCTTCTTGGATGATATTCCAGCAAAGACCTGCTCTCAAAGGAAACACACTCCTGGACATCAGATAGACCACTCAGGCACTGGGAAGCTATGGGTTTGGAGTCAGCTAAAGCATAACTGTAGTACATCTGTCACAGAGAATACCACACTTGGGAGCGCTTTAGACTTGGAGCAAGAAAAGACATGCCTCTCAAGAGAAAGCCTTCCCAAATTAAAGCAGTGCATCAGCATTGGGATCCACTGAGCAGGTAAAGACAAAGCTGCTTCACAGCCTACTAGGAATAAGAGCCCTGATGAAAGGTCATGCCATGCTTCAGGTTCTGGCTCCTTCTGTTATTCTTTCTTTATTATTTATCACCGTGAACTTGTCTACTATTATTTGTTGGCTTTCTTCTTCTTCCTTTCCTTCTTTTTCTTTTCCCCTCCCTTTTCTTTCTTCCTCCCTCCTTCCCTTCCTCCCTTCCTTCTTTTCCCTTCCCTCTCTTCTTTTTCCCTTCCTTCCTCTCTCTTTCCCTCCTTTTTTAAGATGTGCTACACTCCCAATATGATATTACTGACTTAACAGCAATTTTTTTCCTTTTTTGTTTGCAACAGAGTCTTGCTCTGTCACCCAGGCTGCAGTATAGTGGTGTATTCTTGGCTCACTACAACCTCTGCTTCCTAGGTTCAAGTGATTCTCCTGTCTCAGCCTCCTGAGTAGTTGGGATTACAGGCACGTGCCACCACACCTGGCTAATTTTTGAATCTTTAGTAGAAATAGGGTTTCACCAGGTTGGTCAGGCTGGTCCCTGACTCTTGACCTTGTGATCTGCCCGCCTCGGCCTCCCAAAGTGCTGGGTTTACAGGTGTGAGCCGCTGTGCCTGGCCCAATTTTTTTTCCTTCTAGCTGAGATGGATCTCTGATGAAACACTGCATTCTCACCTGGTCCTTCTTGGGTCACAACCATACCTTTGTGAGATGCCTGTGTTCACTAATTGGCCTAAACACAGCCCAAACCTGTGGCCTAATTATAAGCATCTTGCTCTAACTAAGTAGCTGGGAAATGTTCTTTGCTTGCAAATTGTAATCACTAATTAGATAACTTTGAGAGTTTCTAGAGCAGTTATTTAGGCAAAATTCTAAATCCAAAACAAAAAACAGGAAAGCAGGATGATGATTATTTATGTTAATAAATCACAGAAGTAAAGCAAAAAACATAGACCCAGCGTTGCATTCTAAAATTTAGAAATACTAGCTGGGTATGGAGGCACACACCTGTAGTCCCAGCTACTTGGTAGGCTGAGGTGAGAGGATTGCTTAAGCCCAGGAATTCCAGGGTGCAGTAACCAATGATCATGCCACTGCACTCCAGGGGTGACAGAGCGAGCCCCTGTCTCTCAAATAAATAAATAAGTAAATATATAAAATTTAGAAATAACTACCACAGCCAGTCCCTGTGGCTCACGCCTATAATCCCAGCACTTTGGGAGGCCGAGGGGGGTGGATCACGAGGTCAAGAGATGGTAGACCATCCTGGCCAACATGGTGAAACCCCGTCTCTACTAAAAATACAAAAAATTAGCTGGGCATGGTGGCACGTGCCTGTAATCCCAGCTACTCCGGAGGCTGACGTAGAAGAACTGCTTCAACCCAAGAGGTGGAGGTTGCAGTGAGCCAAGATTGCACCACTGCACTCCAGGCTGGCAACAGAGTAAGACTCTGTCTCAAAAAAAAAAATAAATAAATAACTATCACAAAGAAAATCACATTTCTAAGACAAATGTCTTCATGAAAAATGTTCTTTTCATTTATGTGGACAGTATATGGGTGTAGCATTAAACTAGATCCATAATCAGATACAAGCAGGATCTCATA